AATTTTTGAATAAACGTATAATTTCTGTTTCAACTTAGTGGTTAAGACTTGTACATGATCACCATAAGTCAAATGAGAATCCAAAGTAATTCCAAGATATTTGTTGGTAGTGACAAGGTTAACACGTTCGCAAGTTAAATGTTATTGATTTCAACTTTTGTAAACATCTGATCATCCCTCAGTGAGTCTTGTATATAAGTAATTGTTTTTGTAAATAAATATCATTTATTTTAGATAAAATTTTACTGACTATGTTACTCATTGGTTTAATTCCTGATAATTACACAGAAAAGGTATCATCATCTGTATTAAAGAACTCTCAATTCCTCATAACTAAGTTATGAGACGGATGTAAGTCTAAAACTCCTACACTGGTTACTTTACTAACTCTGTTTATGACTTAGTATTTCATCATTTTAATTAAGGGGATATTTATTTTTATTTATTTATTTTTTGAGGGGGCACAAATAGGCTTCCAAACATATTTATGACACAAAGAAATTTACAACAAGTAAGTGATTTAGGACTAAACTTCATCTGTCAGATAGTTTCTATAAAATTTGAAGATGCTGAGACATTTTCTTCTTTTCTCTGGTAATAAACAGCTAAGTTAGTTAATTCCTGACTCTTCCCTCGCTGGAACACCTGTGAGCGAGTAGTGTCTCCTTTAAACGGTTCAGCTCACCAATCAGACTCCAACTCCCATCATCCCTCAGTGTCGCATCAGTGCGCAACAAACGAGAGCGAGGCTGCAGCTGAGGGACAGGACGACCGGTTATCTGGAGATCATTTCTGCTTCCTAACGGAGCGTGTGTCCGGCGCAGAGCTGTCCAAGTGACGGGAGAGGATCCACGGAAACATGGCTAAACAGCAGGAGGTGGAGCGCCTCGCTAAGAAGCTGGATAAAATGGTGCAGAAGAAAAACACGGTGAGGGCAGCCCAGAGACATCAGGTGATGGGTCCACCTTTCACTGACACAGGGGGAAAACTCTGGAAAGACTAGCAGTGTGTTTGCTCTGTAGGACAGGAGGACTAACATTCAGCTGTTTGTCTGTGCCTAGCTGAAAATCACTGCACTCTGACTGGTCAGAAAGTGCACTCTTAAAACAGATGTGWTAAAATCAACACAAACTGAGTCAAAACTCAACACAYCAYCTGTTTTAATCATTTTATCACAGTTACTGTGTTCCTTTAACACACTGACTGTGTTAAAGGAACACAATCTGTGTTAAAATTATTAACACAGCTGTTGTGTTGAAATGATTAACACACTAAATGTGTCAAATTGAACACAAAATGTGTTGTCCTTATATAGACACATTGTTATGTTAAAACACGTGCTAAATGTGTTAATTAAATAAAAAATGGAACTCATCTTGTAGAAAATAAACTTTTATTGTACACTTTAACATTACAATGGACAAAAAAAATCACAGCATGTTAAGTTCATGTA